TCAAAGCAGAATATGTCATATGATATACTGCTGACAGTCTGATCACTTTGGCTTTATTTCGCTTACTTTTCTTGATGAAAATTAAGTGAATTGTTGGTCTGAAGAGGATATTCGAAGTGAAAGTAAAATTAGATTTAGTATAATGTGAACTTGGGCGAAATTGTGATGGTTGTTGTGGTTCGGTGAGACTGTCGAAAAAATACAAAGAAATAAGGGTGGTGATACGTTAAGAAAAAACTATTTTGCAACATGGAAAACTGTGCAAATGAAAAGTGGATGATGCCTTAATGTTGATTATTTGCAATTTCAATTGGAACATTAATTTTCCGAGTGATATTTATTATCTGCCTTTTAGCGGAAAACGCAAGAAGAAATGAATGCGAAGTGGGCAGATGAACGACGTAAACGATTAGAGGAAGCGGACAAAAAGATGCTGCAGATGTACGAGGTGATGAAGGCGATGATTTCTGAATCGAACGTTGCCATTCAGAAAGAATTCGACCAACGACATCAGGTTGAGCAAACATTCAGCGATAATCAACTGGCCTATATAAAGTCCGGTAAAGATGAACTGACAAGGTTGCACGATGCGGTCGGAGGGGCTTCGATAGAATACAGCGAAATTGAAAACCNCTTCAAATCGGTACGTTATTGTCATTTTTACTCTCAAGACTGATACTTTTATAATCATTTTTAAAAATCAACAAGATTGTCACACTTTCGTGATATATTGTTCGTTGTACTTTACTTATTGTTGTTGATATGTTGCAAGTTGATTATTAGCGTGACTCTGAGAGAAAGTCAATAAAACAGTAGTAACACTTCAGACAGAGCAGTCTCTAAGGGCGGACATCGTCAACAAAAAAGAGCACTTGATCGCACAGCATGATTCGATGAAGTCACATGTCGAACAGTGCAGCACTCTGGTAACTTTTCATGATGCTTATTTTCAAATAATAGATTTCTTATCAAGTTCATATTCGTACATGAAATCTGCAAGTGTAAATTATGTTTCTATTTGTTGGGCATGCAAAACGATTACACTTGTTTATCAGTTGATGAGAGTCTGTGAAGGATGTGGAGCTTAAACATGCCTCGAATCGTATTCCATGAGTGGCATGGACAGTGGCGAACTGTTACTAGGCAACAAAAAAGCAGTACAATACGAAATTTTGTTTTAGATTATCGACTCAACAAATTCACAGTCTGAAGCAATGAACAGGCGAGTTAACGATCTGGTCGACATACTCAAGGATGTTAACACCACAGTTATGGACACGGCAAACTCGATGGTGCTTCGATTCACTTTCTTCTATCATAATTTCTTATGCTTCTTAAGAGCTTCTTATAGATTTTTTCATTGCTATTATTTTGACCTGAACCAGTCTCCAAAGCTTCAATGGTGACTTTTTTTTTGCAATGTGAATGCTAGGCATCAAAAAAAGGAC